GCACAAGTGCAAGAACAACCCCCTCTTCGGCCGCCCAAAGATCGTCGCGACGGTGGACAAGTACCAGGGTGAGCAGAATGACTGTAAGTACCATCCACCCCCTCCCTAACCTCGATGTGTACTAACATACCCTCAAGACATCATCCTCTCCCTAGTCCGCACCCGCGCAATCGGCTACCTCCGCGACATCCGCCGCCTCACCGTCGCCCTCTCGCGCGCCCGTCTGGGCCTCTACATCCTCGGCCGCCGCTCCGTCTTCGAATCCGTCTTCGAGCTCAAACCCGCCTTCGACATCCTCCTCCAACGCCCCGACAAGCTTACGCTCGTCACCGACGAAATGTTCGGCGAAACACAACGACCTGCCGAACAATCCGGAAATGTGGAGGGCGAAGCCGAGATGCAGGATGTAGAGCATTTGGGCAAATATGTGTATGAGATGACCAAAGCGAAGGTCGAGGCTATGAAGGCGAATGGAGGCGTTATGCCCACGAGGGAGGTTACGATGGGTGAGGCGACTGGTGGTGGGGGCAAGGACGAGGATGAGGATGATGATAGGCCTGAGAATGTGCTTATCCCTGAGGAGGTGAATGAGGAGTTTGATGATGAGGATGAGGAGGATGCGGTGGTGGATTGAAGAATGCGCTGGTCAAAAGGTTTGAAGGGGGATTGCATGATATGGGGATGGAACGATGGGGTATTGCATAGATTGGCGTAATGTTTGTATGTTTAGTTCTTATTTGATGGGGTTGAGATGAGTTGGAGGGTAGATGTCAGAAGACGAAAGATACCAGATCGATCATCGCCCGAGTGGCATGCACATTTCTTGCTCGAAACTTGCTGGGTATGTCGTGGTGTAGGGTTGTGATGCTCTCATAAATCCTCCCAGTATTTCTTTTTTGTTCAAAAAGGCCAGCGCTCTCCGCAGGACCATATATTCAACCCAGGCGGTTTTTTGTTCATTCAAAGGCTCGAAAGGAGGGAGAAGACATGAGGATTTTGCTCAGCGTATTCAGACAAAACACAGAAAGAAAACATGTTTTGGTGAAGCCTTATATTTTGGGAGAAAGCACGGAGAGACTCCGATCATCGGCACTCAGTAGAGACCTTTTTAGAGAGAAGCAGGAAATCTTTCATTTCCTCTGTTTCTTACAATTTGGAACTCTGGAGCTTTGCGCAGGAAGACGACATGCACTAGTCTTCTTTGTGTTTCGCATGCTGTAGAGAGAGCACAGGAGGAAATGCTCGGATCATTTAGAGCTTGTATTGTCATTTTGATGGACAAGAAAATGTTGTAGTAGTTTTCGTCGAGTTTGGGCGCAGGAAGACAACATCCCATATTCAAGGTGTACTTTTGGAGAAGACAGAAAGGCGGAGTCCGTCTCATCCTTGGCTTGAATGTCACTTTTAATGGGAAGTGATTTTCGGGTATGCGCTTCTTGAGTTCCTGGCGCAGGAAGACGGCATGTTGCTTCAGTCCATAATTTTGAGGAAAGGAGCAGGAGGATCCAGACCATGCTATGTGTTGATATATCTTTTTGGTGGATAATAAGAAGTTTGTGGATGAGAGAACAGTGGTCGGCGAGGGGAGGAGGTGTTTATATACCCGTCTTCGTCTAGCGCATTTGTGGTATAGTATGGTTAGTCGTGGACAGGTCTCATGGGAACTTAGAACGCCATTTTAGGAGTAAGCGCGAAGTGTGCAGGGAGGCACAGGACGACGCACGCCACCATCTTCGAATTGTTCGTCGATTTTGGTATTCCGAAAGGGAGGTTTTGGTTCGGAGAAACGACATCAGCAGTATTCCTGCTCGTTTGGGTGTACATCTGGAGACGAACGACGGCTCCGTCCCATGACAGGAACCCTTGTACGTTTTCGGGTAGAACAAGAAGAGGGATTCAGATAGAAGAAGAGAGGTAGCAAAGCTGAAGGCTGTTTATATATGGTAGGCGCCGTCACACTGCACACGTCTCTCATAAAATGCTCCTTAAAGAACTTTAGAGGTAAATTTCATCTTGTGTAGATATGTCGAGAACAGCGCCGGCAACCATCCCAATGCTGCTCAAAGTTCTTGGTCCTGCAGACTGAGACTTTGGTGCAAGAAAGCAGACATCTAAGATCTTCTTGTAGTTTTTTACCAAGGCTTTGGGGAAAGAAGAGAGCACTCAGTCTCATGAGCGGCGATTGCATCCGTTTTGGAGAATACAAAGAACTGTGTGGATGGAAGAAGAGCGAGGAGCAGTGCATGTAGTCGTTTATATACCGTTTCCCTGCTACTAGCTAGTACAAAGCTGTTTCATGTAGGCCTGGAGAAAGACTTGGGTGCAGAGAAGCAACATGGCGTTTTTTCCTTTGTCTTTTGATGTTGGAGGTGGAGACGGGGCAGAAAGCTGGTCTCATACCCCTTCTAAAAATTGTTTTTGGTGAATGTGGAAAACCGAGTGCGTATAGAAGAGCAGAAGGCAGCGGATCAAGTGGTGGTTTATATACACATATGCATACTATAGGCCAGAACCAGAAAGCACTTATCTAGGCGTTATTCCGGTTTTTGAAACAGTGAAGTTGGTGTAGCAAAACTTGTCCCACGAGAACATGGGAGGTCGAACTCAAGACTTTTCGTGTGTTACATGATGCGCTGATCTGGTAAGCCGCGCAGTTATACTATCTGATCTGGTAGGTTTCAGACAGTCAGACAGCTTCTCCGAATTATTCCTGATTTCGAGTCCGATTTGAGAAAGGAGAGGCACAGCAGATCATGGATCCATAGCATGACGCTTTTAGGAAGAAAATAAGGGGAGTTAAGAAGAAGAAGAGTAAAGTCCACCGGCACAAGGTTTTGTGTACGACGTCCGTGATGTCATGTCATATCGAACAGTGTTTGGAGTTTGAGACCGTTGGAAGAGTGCTCGAATCATGATTCGATTCAATGCATATTTTGGAAGACAAGTAAGGCAGATCATCGCTCGGGATTGCTCAGAATTTTAGAAAATAAGGTAGTACCATGAAGAAGAGGACCAGAGTCCATTGATGTGGGGTTTTGTACACGACGCCCAAGACGCTAACTCATTTTGACCACTCTCTGAAGTTTGAGACCGCTGAACGAGTGCTTAGAATCATGATACATGTTGGGTAACTTGTTTTTGGAAGACAAAGCACGGCAAAACATCGTTAGGTTGCCCGGCAGTTTTGATCCTTCTTTGGGGACCAAGGTAATATGATGGAGAAGACAAGGAAAGACAGATTTCCGCGAGTTTTATACACAATACCAAGCACTAGACACAACAAGTCTATTCGTATTGCTCGCCAGAGAGACAGAAGACATGAGAACTGGTGGAATATTCTTTCGGTCTTCCGACAAGCTCAGACATTTCTCCTCTCTAGTCGCGTTTAAGTGCGGACTTCTTGGATTTTGTAGTAGAGGCAGCAAAACATGTGCCGCCGACATCGAAACGAATGAATGCGTTTTTTGAAATCTGGGAGTAAGGTAGTTGTCTAAAGAAGAAAATGTTTTCGGACGCAGACAGCGGTCCCTATACATTCGTCGCGTGCTGATCAGAGACAGCACCATGTGCTTCATGTGGCTAAAGTTTTTTTTGGGCGCCTCGAAGCAACGGGCGGCAACATGTCGCAGCTGATCCTGATATTTTGGTGGAAAAGCGAGGAAGGCGGACTCGCACATGAGGATCGTTCTCATTTCTTTTGGTGAAAAAAGAGAAAAGCCAGTGGATGAGGAGTCAAAGCAACCAACTGTCGCAGTTTATATATCGACAGCCGGACTATACCAACACATGCAGGGTTTTCAGATGCTCTTTCTGGTTTTCCGAGATGAGAGCGAGAAGGATGGACGCGCACATGCTTTGGTGGGCGGTCAATTTGAGTATGCAAGTGGGAAACAAGTACTTGGGCAATACAGCTGGCTCGATGCCGGGATTTATGTAACAGCAGTGTGGCGTTCGGAAAACATGAAGACATGGTATCGAATTTTGAGCTCAAAAGCATGAATTCTGGTGTACAGGGCTTCTGGTCATTTAACATGAACGCGCGGAGAGCACGCGCACATCTTCATCTCCAGGACCGCTTTTGGAAGTTTTCAGTATGATTGTAGATGAAGAATGAAAGTGTCTAGAAGTCGTGCTTTTATATAAGTCAAAGCCTTGCTTGCCCAGAGCCTTTATTAGTACAGTCTGCTATCGAGGCGCAGAAACATCACAGTATCTACACATACTTCTTGATTTTTTGATGCAAAGTTGCGAAGTGCAGACGCAGACAACACATCAGTCCAAAATTGTAGGCTTTTTGGACTTCGGGTCAAAGACTGGTAGATGAAGTGTAGAAGTGCGCACACGTCATTCTTCATGATGGCGCATTTTAGCGTCTTTTCCTTTCCAACACAAATAGTATGGTAGAAGGGTCTCAGTCGGCTGGGAGAGACATAGATAGCTTTTCTTTGGCTTTTGATGTTCTGTCTGGATGGAAGAAGACATCAAAAGCAATTTCGAGCTTTTTAGAGTGCGCTCCAGGCTAGAGGACTGCCACATGAGTCGAGTGTTTCCGCATTTTGGAGATGTGCAAACAGTGTGTGTGATAAAGAAGAGAAGCTTTGCTAAGAGGAAAGATGATTTTATACTTGAAGTTGCGTTCAAAAACACCACAGGATGAGAGCATGCGCGCGTGTGCCCATCGTGAACTGTTTCCCAGCTGCGACCCGAACATGTTGCAACAAACTTCACGATTCACTTCCCCGCATGCAGCCAACGCGCCCAATTATGCAGACGCCCAATTCACGCGTCATGTTCATGCCACGCCCAAGAGCCAAGCCTAAAAGACGGAGTCTGAAACCGATAAGCGAAAGCCGGTCGATCCCAATGTCCAGACGCGCGAGTCACGCAACAAATGTCCTGAGGCCCCACATCCTCCCGTCAAAACTGCAGGATCGTGAAACACAAATTACCCCACCCTCGCCCGTGGACCGGGGTCGCTCGTCATGTTCTGGAACCTACGATTACAGGTACAAGCTTGCGCAGTTGCAAATGTCGCTGTTTCAAACACTTGTCAGCGCACATCCCAGACGTCCCAAACACCAGGGCGCAAGCACCAGGTACAACCCGCCGGTGCGGAATCGGGAGCAAGAAGAAACAGAGCACGTACCGTTTGATGAGTTCCTGACACGTTCCCATTTTTTGGAACAGCGTCGGGTCGCCGATAATCCGAGCCGCGTTCTTGACTTCGCGGCACGTCTCGTCTAGTCGGGTGATGACGCGGACAATGGTGCCCTCCATGACATCTGTCAGGTCTGTTATGCGATTGAATGACATGCCTCGTGCCCACTCATACACCACTTCGACCATGCCGAAGCGGGGTTTGCTGACAAAGTCATTCGAATCATCCGCCGAGAGGATAACCTGGTGCAGAGTCTGTATCTTGTTGACCTTTTCGGAGATCTCAACAATCTTTGCGACGCCGCGTTCCAGATTTGCAGTTAGCGTAGGCTCTACGTCGGTCTTCTCTTGGAAGACAAACGCCGACAGTAGTGCGACGATTTCTTCCGGTTCGTACTCGGCGAGGACGTTTTCTAAAACGAGCTCGGTAAGGACCAGCTCATCCGCCGAGTGAATCTGATAGCTGTCAGTGGATGGGTGGAGCTTGAAGTCAGTGTCAAGCATACCTCGCAGGCTACCTTGCCCTTCAGCTCTACGCGAGAACCTTCATCAATAAAGCCGAGATCCTTGAGTACGTGTATGCGCTGTTCATAGTCAGGGAGTAGCTGTAGATTTTGGTCTGACATGAGCTGGCGGAGAGCAAGGATGTTTTCTTTGATCAGCCATTGATCGTGCTCCATGGTGAACTACGAAGATTAGCATGGGTCGAGAACACTGCCGAACGCGAACACGTACATGTTTCAAGAAGTTTGGGCATTTCAAACATTCTTTGCTAACCGCATTGAGTCCTTCTTTCCTGCGGGCTTCCTCCAGTTCACGGAACTTGAGGCTCTTGATCTTGCTGTAATCGTACTCATCCCAGTCTTCGTAATCCCATGATCCACACAAGGGCAGGAATTGGGATTCAGCCAGCTTCAATGTGTCTGATGTGGCTGTTAGCGCCGGACCCAGACCGTAGCGCACCCACTTACCCTTCTTGCGATTCAAATTTTGAACAGAATCAGGAACATCGATGATGGTCTTGGTGAAGCACTCGATGTCGTTCAGGGGTACGTAGGCTGCCTTCAGGATCAAGTCCTTGGGGCTGTTCGGCAGTTTGCGGAAATGCTTTGCAAAGGGACCGAGATACGGCAAAAGGTCGTCAGGCTGACGATCGTGATGCTGCGCCACCTCCAAGACTTTGACTGTAGGCTCGTTGCCCTTGCTAGTGCCATCTTGCATTAACATACCCGCTGTTCGTTTGTTGTCCTGACTGTGTGAGTAATGAGGCAATTTGAGAGCGAAAGTGAAGCGTGTACCTTCTTGTATACGATCAACCTGTTCTTTGACAAAGCTTTCCTGCCGATAGGGTTGATGAGCAGACTCAGATGCATTTCATTGGTTAGTCGCTTGTAGTCCTCACAAGACTGATGGCACGCCTCTAGGTCGACATCGCAGATATCACAAGGTTCTCGCTTGATCTTCTCCAATTCAGCCTCCGAGACCTTGACCTTGCCTTGATGTTCAGGCAGTAATGCTTGAGTAGCGTTCTCACTGAAACTTCGCTTGATCATCTCTTCGATCTTCAGGGCCTCTACACGAAGAAGGTTCAGCATCATGTTGTAGGTGAGACGGAACTGTGATCTCAGCTTCGTGGGTTCCCCCAGCATCATCTGACGGAGTCTGGCTGCTGGTGGCGCCTCGTCGGCTCCTGGCGCGCAGATGATGACAGTGCCGACAGTGTCAAGTCCTCGCCGACCTGCACGACCGGCCATCTGCGTGTACTCGCCGGGCAGCAAATCACGGAACTCCCGGCCGTCGTGCTTACGGAACCCAGAGAACACAACGGTCCTGGTGGGAAGATTAAGTCCCATAGCGAAAGTTTCCGTGGCAAAGAGAACCTTGACAAGCGTCTTCGCAAAGAGGATCTCAACAACCTCCTTGACGATCGGCAACATGCCACCGTGATGAACGGCAATACCTCGACTAAGCAGCTCTCTCAGCCGCTTGATCTGGGGAAGCTCACGGTCTTCCTTGCTCAGTCGAGCGAGTGACTTCTCGATGGTCATGTGTATCGCACTCTTCTCTGCAGCATTGCAATAGTCGATGTTAGAGAGCGCTTCGGCATTCTCCTCGCACCGCTTCTTGGAGAAGACGAATATGCAAGCAGGCAGGAGATCCTTGCTTCGGAGATGCTGTATGAGGTGGACCCAGATGTTTCTATCCTGGGCGGCAGTCGTACGACCGCCACCACGGCCCGTCCTTGCGATATTACCTCGGCCTCTAGCAGCGGGTGGGCCTCCACCGCGAGGTCCCCCTCGACCGCCACCTTGTTGACCTCGTCCGCGTTGGTTCTGGCCTCCTCTAGCGGGTGGGCCTCCGCGACCACCACCGCCTCTGCCGGCTTGTGCATCGTTTGCAGGGGGTGCCTTGACTTTGTCTTTGCCAGACAGGATATCGTTCGCGTCTTTCCAGCCATTATCGATGAATTTCTTGTCTGCTGTGACGATCTTGTGGATGCCTTTGCCAGCCCATAGGTAATGCTCCAGAGGGATTGGGCGTTTCGGGGTAGAGATGACGTAGATGTCTTTCTTCTTTGTTCGACCCACCCAAGACGCGAATTCATATGTGTTGGGTACGGTGGCGGACAGTAGGATGAGTGTTACATGCTCTGGCAGCATAATGATGACCTCTTCCCATACGACACCTCGCTCGAGATCGTTGACATAATGCACTTCATCAAAGATGACAAACTCGACGTCTCTGATAAGATCTGCTCCTCGGTACAGCATACTTCGAAGGATCTCGGTAGTCATGATGAGGCAGCTGGCTTCGGGCCTGATCTGCACGTCTCCCGTAAGAATGCCGACATCATCAAATGTTTGGCGGAAGTCGCGGAACTTTTGATTACTGAGAGCTTTGATGGGAGAAGTATATATAGCTTTCGTCATATGCTTTGCAGCAAGCGCGATGGCGTACTCTGCAACGACGGTCTTGCCGGCGGACGTATGTGCGGCTACAAACACAGAATCGCCATGCTCAAGATGATAAACTGCTTCTTTCTGGAATGTATCGAGCTCAAAGGGATACTCGCGCGCCATCTCCGGAACAAGTTCCCGGAAGTTAGTAATGTCGCGGTTGATGTCAACCATGTGAGCCCACTCTCGTCCACCCTTCCTCCCAGCACTCATGGCAAGTGGACCATGAGGTGCCAGAGCAGGGAACTCTACTGGCAACAAAGCATCGATCTCTTCGTCTCCAGCATCTTGGTCTTCATCAGGTTCCCCATTTGCGCCGGTCTTGTCGTTGGCATCCTCGTCATCCGCATCAGTATCCTTGGGAGCTGCAGATGCTTCGCCCAAGGTATCTTCGACTTCCTGAGCAGTCTTGGCATCCGTAGTTGGCTTCTTCTGGAAGTCAAGCCCACGCGTAAAGCCAGGCGGCACCTCTAGTAAGCCACCTTCAGCACTGAAGTTGATGACCCTGTCGAGACCGCCACTTTTCTTCCCATTCGCACTCTCTTGCTGCTGGATTGCTTCATCCTCGATAGCAGCTACTGCTTCCACGCCATCAAGGCCACCGGGCGCGAATGGAAAGAAGCCAGCTGCACCACGTACGAATTCAGCTCTGTTAGCAGGCTTCCTGAGAAGTGAAGTAGAGTTCTTGGCTGTTGCTGAATTTGCTGGAACGGTGACTTCCTTGTATCCAGTGACGCGGCCTTCCAGTCCCTCGCGAGTGAAGCGGATGATGGTCCGGGTCTGTGTTGGGGCGATCTGGAACAGGCTTCGGTAATTGGTGGGTGCATCCCAGCGCTGCTGAAGCTGATTCAGCCACTGCGTGTTGAAAGATTTGGAGGGCGTTAGGAATGCTTGCTCCAATTCCTTCTTGATGACCTCTTTGGTTTTCCGCTGTCGCTTGGGTGGCCGCTGTTCGCCAGCTATCGAGTCTATCCCATCTTCGTCAAGGCTGCCGCTGCGTAGCCGTAGCTTTTCTAGTTCCCCTGACAAAGCTTCCATGTTCGCGAGTTGAGTGCGAATCTGGTAGGGTACTGTGCCTGTGGGATTGTGGCGCGACTGAGTGAGAAAATGGATGACATTGTTCGGCGCGCCAAGCCGTGTCAAAAGGACCCACTTCCCCCGCTACCGTGTACACAGCGTCGGTGCTACTACCATGTAAGATTCAACACTTCGTACCTGCAGATGTAAGATGGATCCTGGGAGAGCCTGCGATAAGCCCATGATATATTAGAAATTGCCCAGAAATAACAGTTTCTTATCTTTGAGCTGCACATTATGTCTAATTGGGTATAGAAGGCTACATGGTAGCCAATCCCCAATGCGAATCATAGTTCATCGTCACTTCATGACCGAGCGCAATCGCTCTTATGGTATTATCCCCGAACGCCGCGCTATGATTGACCAAATCCAACTGCAACATCACGTACCAGCTCAATCCCACATGTCGTCCATCTCTGCCATTGCCTCCATATCGTCCGCAAAAGGATCGTCTTGTGTGGGCATCGGCCGTGTTGGGAGTGTCTTGGGTGCTGTGTAGCTGGGCTGATCGCTTTCAGCTAATAATGCATCTAACTCGTCGTCGTCAGGATCTCCGCTCTCTGGTGCTTCCGCTGCATCGCCTGCTGGATTACGTGTAGATGCCTCCCGTTCCTTTTGGTGGCCTGTGTCTTCTTGGTCGCCGTTCTCGACGCCCTCCATGTCTTCGGTACTCTGCTGTGGAGTCTTCTCTCGGGCCGCGTCCTCGTCGTCTTCATCCTGTCCCGTGTTGCGGCGCGGTTTGCCTTCGTCGATCCAATCCTTCCGCATCAATTGCATGCGCTTCGTGTGTCCGACCTTCTCGATAATGGCTAGGGCGTCTGCAAACTTGGCGCGGGGGTAAAGATCGTCGAGCCACAGCTGGTACATGTTCAGCATCCGGGCAATGTCTCCATACTACAATTGAGTTAGTTGACGGGTCTACTTGATCAGGATAAACGTACCTCGTGACCCTTTCCTTTGAAGCGAAGGCGATCCTTTGAGATCTTGCGCAAGCGGGGAATGCCAGGATCTGAAAGCAGCCGTTGGTCATCGAGTTTTGGCGCAGGCTGGCGCTTTTTGGTGATAACAATCTCTTCGTCAACGCCTAGGCCACCTGCAGTGTCGCTGTTCTTGTTGCTTCGGTACTGTGGTTGTGGCGGGTTCTCGGTCGATTGGATTGGTTCTTCGGGGTTTGTGACGTCTTTGAGAATATCGTCGAGATCATCGTCGGAGTCATGGGTGGCCATTATATCTGGTGAGGGCTATTGTGGGTGTAGTGAGGTCGGTCTCTTCGTGGATCATAAAGTTCACATCGCGCGACGCGTCTGACGCGTTCAGCCATACGCACGGGCCTTGAACACTAGCCGCATGTGGCGCAACTAGATCTTTGTCTAGGCAGGGTCCAACCAAGCTCTCGAATGCAGCTTTGCGATCACACATCGTCTTCACTAACCTGATATTCGCTATAATCACTACCGCCTCTACCACTGCTAACGTTCATGCGACTATACGTCTGCCGCTCATACGTCTCACGTCGCAGCTGTACCGTATCGCTACTACCTTTGCGACAGCGGGTTTTCCGCTCGTGATCGAAGCCCTACGCGCCCTAGGCCTGATAAAATGGGAGCATCAAATGTGCTTTCCGCCGACGCCGTAGCCCCAAGGCTCGACTACTTATTACGGCGTGCCCGTGTTGTCAAGCAGAGTACTGCGATCGATCCTCCACTCCAAGTTTCTGAGCTTGTACCGGAAAGCGAGCCTCTGCTCGGCGAGATCGAAGGAGGAAAGGAAGTGCGAACGCTTGCGGTCGAGAGTGCAGCCAAGAGTGTATTCTATGCCAATCTTGTTAGTTATCATGCTACGGGAGGAGCTCCGCCAGTTGCTTACATGTTCAGGGTTCTACTCAGATTGAGGAGCCGGCCTTCGTAACCGTCTGGAATCTACTCGACATCCTCCAGTACTGTGGAGATCGGGGTAGGTTCTTTTGCCGCATTTTCTCAATTCTGGCTGACCTTCCTAGACCTCTGCCATCCGCAGCTTGTACTGTTGCTCATCGAAGAACTGCTTGACAGCCAATCAATCTCAGGATGTCGCACGGTATTCAATTTCCTCGAATCGCGGAGAGAGACTATCATTGCGGTATGTCGTCCCTCTTACTATTTTTAGCCATTCTCATCGTGCCGCAGATCAACTCCAAGAATAAGGATCTTGTCATCTTACGGCTGTGTAATGAGCTGCTCCGCCGGCTGTCCCGCGCAGAAGATCCGGTATTCTGTGGCCGGGTCTACATCTTCATGTTTCAGAGCTTTCCCTTGGGCGATAAGAGTTCGGTAAATCTGCGGGGCAATTTCCATGTGGAGAATGTGACGACATTCGAGGATTTCCTGAAGGAATCGAACACGGAAGAGGATTCTATGCAAATCGATGCTGATGGGCCTGCTCCTATTCCCAAGGAAGAGTCGAAGTCAGTGGAACCAGTCATTCAAACTGAGGATATCGACAAGAGCAAGGACGCGAAACCTACGACACTTGACACGGAGACCCTCTATCCAGTATTCTGGTCATTGCAGCACTCCTTCTCGAACCCGCCCAGGCTTTTCGAAGAAGATAATTTCAAGCAATTTCAGAAGAGCTTGGAGGCGACGCTAGCTAAATTCAGGGAAGTGCCCAAAGTGATTCAGGCCGGAGATTCAGAACGAAAGAAGGGACAAAAGTCGCGGGACGATGACGACTACGATGCATTCGCCAACTCCTTTAATCCCAAGTATCTCACAAGCCGTGATCTCTTTAAGCTCGAGGTACGCACGATTGCCACTATCAATCTGCGCTATGACTGACAATCTCCAGCTGAGCGATCTCGCCTTCCAACGCCACATCCTTGTTCAAGCACTAATACTCATCGACTTTTTGTTGACTCTGACTGAGGGGTCCAAGAGCAAGCCATTTTACCAAAATGCGCAGAAAGCGATGCAATACAACTTCACGCTGCGCGAGGAAGACGTAAGTGCCCATCATTTGCCTCTTCTCACACCTCCGTCACGCTCTCTTGCTCGCTTCGCTGTTCGTGATCATCATCTTCTCGGCTGACCACAAAGCACAGACCGAGTGGGCATTGGGCATCAAGACGGCTATTGCAAATTACCTGCAGGAAGGCCCAGATGGCAAATTCTACTACCGGATGGTGGACACCGTGCTTTCCCGCGACAAAAACTGGGTACGATGGAAGATGGAGAACTGCCAACCATTCACTAGAGACAGAGTCCCCACAACGGACTTCCAACAAGCCAAGTCTGGGGCGCAGAAAGCTGTTGTTGGTAAGAAGGCGTCGAAGCCCATGGGTGTTCCTGGCAGTTTGAATTTCCTCTACAACAATGAAGCGGATAAGGGTCTCTCTCAGCTACGGCAAAGCGACAGGTACGTGCTCCGCTCGTCCGACTGACACTGGATTACAGCCTCTGACTTCCAGTCAGGTTCAATGTGCCGAATGCAGAGTCATATGCAAAAAAGGTCAAGATGACCGACTTGGATCTGGAAATGACTGACGCAGAGGACGAGAAGCGGCAAGCGGGGGAGAAGAAATCCAGCTACATCTGGCGAGGTCTTCGCGTGGCTTCGAAGACGCAGCTAAGCTCGTTCGATAGGATCGAGCATGGCAAAGGCCTCGAGGCTCTTCAGCCGGCCACCTCTTCCATTGAGGCGACGGGCGTTGACGCTGCACCCACTGCTTCGGATGACCAGGGGGCTCTTCCGCAAGACGAGCATCAGAGCGTCGAGGAGCAGCGGCCCGAGCAGCGTAGTCAAGTGACTGCGGAACCAGCGGCGTAGTGGTAGCAGCGACAGGGGCAGTGTCGCCTGCGCCAGCTCGGTATGTATTATCGACGGCTCTTGAGAAACGCATGAGCTTTTCCTCATACGTTACTGTGCAGTATGGGGAGCGTTGTGGCGCTTTCTCATCGAATTTATCTGTGCAAGCGAAGAGAACATGGGGTTCATCTCCCCGAGCCACTCTCAGCGTATCGATAGATCGGAGGCCACGCATAGTCTGAGCGACCGCACAGCCGGTCGCCAACGGCGCCCCTCAATCTGCAACGCCACGACTAGAGGCAGGAAGGCTGTGTGCGGCGCGAGCAGGCTGTGGAGATGAAGAGCCCCATGCTGATGAATAGAAGTCTTCGCAATATAGCCTCATCGCGTGGGAATGTACGCCGTTTCCCGGGTCTCGCACTGATGTAACCACGATGGCAAGATTGTGGCTCTCGTCCCTGGCTAAGCATGACGGAGTGTCCAGGCCCTTGAGGAATGCTCTGATCACAGATGTGCCGTGATGCGCCGGGGTGGGGCCGTCTTCAGGCTCATTGAATGAGTTGTCAGCACAAAATCCACCTACGTGGGAGATGCTGCATGATTCCGAAATGAAGGGACCTGTACGACCTGACACGACCGTTCAGCGCAGTCCGAGGCTTCCAAGGTTCTCTGCGGTGGTCTGGCACGCGGTGGGACCACCTCATGATGACATGACAAGTTGCGAACCACCAGGCGGCCACGGGCCCAGACTGCTGGCAACGGATCGCAATCATATTCAATGCATTATGTTCGCGAGAGGGACCGAAGCATAAGGACCAGAGGCAGGCATGTTCTGCCGACGCTGGACAGGCACCCATGCGCTCATCAAACCCACACAAGTGTTGCGTCCCCCACCAATGACCCGCCAGCGTATTCGCGGTTTCGCTATCGCTTGCTCCTGTCATTTCCACAGGCCGTCCTCATCCGCCATCCGGGCGGTCTTGGCGTTGTTTGGGAAATCGACCGCGACGCCCTGCCGGCATCGCGTTTGGAGATTGCGTGTGCGCAGCCGGCGACGTGCTTTTTGTCGTTGCGAAACGAGCCAAACGCTGGCGGTTACCCGCGTGCTTCACAGCCAGCGGGCAAAAACAATATGCGCCGGTTCAGGCAATGCGACCGCAGACGGCGCGAGGCGGACA